TACAGTACCCTAACCTGTGATGTAGTACCAGGTATAAACCATACTTATAGTGGTGACATCATACCTCCTTTATGGCCAGAGTCGGACAAGTCATTGTGGTTTTGCAGGGGATCTGAGATACTGTGTGCAGAGTTTGCCATGGGGTGTAATTCAAAAGCTGAGTTGGTGTCGGGAGGAAAGGAGGAGGGAGGAAAATGTCCGCCATAGTTCTCGCTCACTGGAATAGCATTTGTTGGAACATCGTAGCGAAGCTCAGCATAAGAAATACCTACATCAAGAGACAGAGGAAGGAAACATACTGATAATAAATAGAAAAGCAAAGAGTTCATTCAAAGCATTTCCAAGAGATATGTGTTTCCCTATATTTTTTCAAAGAGGCTTTCTGCTAAAATTTGAATCCACAATATAAGATATATATTTTCTAGCCTTTTATACCTTCTCTCAATATTTTTCTATCTTGAAATTCACTTTAAATATTTTTACCCCTAAATAAAATGTGCATCTCTTACATGAAAGAAATTAATTAATTTGCAACAAAGACCTACCACTGGAATCAAATTAATTCTGTTTATAATAAAAGATGGGGACATTTTCAGCCTCAACAGTACAGAATGTGGTTTCATACATGTAGTTTCTATTTGTAAATTTCATAGATTTTAATCTATTTCTTTAACAATTATAAATATTATCAAAAATGAATAAAAATGTTGACAACCTTATATTTTTAAGAGGATTTGTTGAATGACTTCTACACAATGTGTGTAATGCTCCCTAAGTGATATTCTGTAAGAGTTAATTAGAATTGAAAGTCTGCATAAAATAGTGAGAACACAGGAACAGTGAGAGAATACACATTCCACATCCATATAAATCATACAGCAAAAACAAAAATCTTCTCATCAGGAGGAGGTGTAGTGATGAGAAGTAAGGATAAGGAAGTAGCTAACACAGGAGGGGGATGGGAGGGATAGCTAACACAGGAGAGGGATGGGAGGAGTAGCTAACACAGGATAGGGATGGGAGGAGTAGCTAACACAGGAGAGGGATGGGATGGGTAGCTAACACAGGAGCGGGATGGGAGGGATAGCTAACACAGAAGAGGGATGGGAGAGATAGCTAACACAGGAGAAGGATGGGGGGGGGGGAGCTAACACAGGAGGGGGATGGGAGGAGTAGCTAACACAGGATATGGATGGGAGGGGTAGCTACCACAGGAGAGGGATGGGAGTGATAGCTAACACAGGAAAGGGACGGGAGGGGTAGCTAACACAGGAGGGGGATGGGAGGGATAGCTAAGACAGGAGAGGGATGGGAGGAGTATCTAACACAGGATAGGGATGGGATGGGTAGCTAACACAGGGGAGGGATGGGAGGGATAGCTAACACAGAAGAGGGATGGGAGAGATAGCTAACACAGGAGAAGGATGGGGGGGGGGGAGCTAACACAGGAGGGGGATGGGAGGGATAGCTAACACAGAAGAGGGATGGGAGAGATAGCTAACACAGGAGAAGGATGGGGGGGGGGGAGCTAACACAGGAGGGGGATGGGAGGGGTAGCTAACACAGGAACGGGATGGGAGGGGTAGCTAACACAGGAACGGGATGGGAGGGGTAGCTAACACAGGAGAAGGATGGGGGGGGGGGAGCTAACACAGGAGGGGGATGGGAGGGATGGCTAACACAGGAGAGGGATGGGATGGGTAGATAACACAGGAGAGGGATGGGAGGAGCAGCTAACACAGGATAGGGATGGGCTGGGTAGCTAACACAGGAGAGGGAGGGGAGGGATAGCTAACACAGGAAAGGGACGGGAGGGGTAGCTAACACAGGAGAAGGATGGGGGGGGGGGAGCTAACACAGGAGGGGGATGGGAGGGATGGCTAACACAGGAGAGGGATGGGATGGGTAGCTAACACAGGAGAGGGATGGGAGGGATAGCTAACACAGGAAAGGGACGGGAGGGGCAGCTAACACAGGAGATGGATGGGAGGAGTAGCTAACACAGGAGAGGGATGGGAGGAGTAGCTAACACAGGAGAGGGATGGGAGGGATAGCTAACACAGGAGAGGGATGGGGGGGGTAGCTAACACAGGAGAGGGATGGGATGGGTAGCTAACACAGGAGAGGGATGGGAGGCGTAGCTAACACAGGATAGGGATGGGATGGGTAGATACCACAGGAGAGGGATGGGAGGGATAGCTAACACAGGAAAGGGATGGGAGGGGTAGCTAACACAGGAGAGGGATGGGAGGAGTAGCTAACACAGGAGAGGGAGGGGAGGGGTAGCTAACGCAGGATAGGGATGGGATGGGTAGATACCACAGGAGAGGGATGGGATGGATAGCTAACACAGGAGAGGGATGGGAGGGGTAGCTAACACAGGAGAGGGATGGGAGGGGTAGCTAACACAGGAAGGGATGGGAGTGATAGCTAACACAGGAGATGGATAGGAGGGGTAGTTACGTAGTGGAAAGCTGAAAGGTGAGGGGACAGAAAAACGGGGAAAAGAATGAAATTAGGAGAAACAGGAATTCTTTTGCAGCAAGACTGTAAGTGGAGATAGGAGCAGAAATATTGGGTGTTTAGGAGTAATATTTGTAAATATGGTTAGTTTGGTTGATACAATTTTGAGGGACAGGAAAAAGGAAGTAGAATTATAGGAGGTATTGTAAAAAGAAAGTTGTACAATGGGTGTGGGCTGGTGATGGTGGTAGAACGGGTGTGGGCTGGTGATGGTGGCAGAACGGGTGTGGGCTGATGATGGTGGTAGAACAGGTGTGGGCTGGTGATGGTGGTAGAACAGGTGTGGGCTGGTGATGGTGGTAGAATGGGTGTGGGCTGGTGATGGTGGCAGAACGGGTGTGGGCTGGTGATGGTGGTAGAATGGGTATGGGCTGGTGATGGTGGTAGAATGGGTGTGGGCTGGTGATGGTGGTAGAATGGGTGTGGGCTGGTGATGGTGGTAGAA